CCGAACAATAAACGTCACTAGACATTTGTCTAGTTATTGCCGAGGCCTAACAGTGCCCGCCCAAAAAATAATACTGATCGCCTATGGAAGGGTAGGGGTTTATATAGAAAATTTCAAAAATGCGAGAAATGTGGGATTGCGCGTAAGAAAAAAAAACGATTTGACGCGAAAATCTGATTGGGTCATGTGTAAAATCCATCACATGAGACACAATTACGAAATTATGACGATACGTTTCACAAGTCACATTCATAAAAAAAATTTATATGATTGGCTGATGTAAATCAATTACCCGGTCATATGTAACAGCTACTGGGTATAAGCTCGTTGCGATGGAAAATTCGAATTTATGCTGGGGTTACTTGATTCTACTTTTGGGTTTGTTGATTATAGATAATAGATTTAGGTTTAATAGATACGTAGTACGCTTTGATAGTAAATATTATTTTTTTTCGTATTTATGTAAAGATTTCTTCTAAAAATATAATGTAAATTTTATTTTTCGCATATATTCACCGATTCATCTAGATTTTGTTTTTTTTCTATGTAATATGCAATTGGGTTATTGTTACATTCAAAATTACCTCTTATAAGTTCGGTATAACTAATTTACTTTAGCGACTGATATGTTAGACGTTTTTAATATATGGCTTATTGCAGTTATGCTTTAAGAGGATTGGTAGTTACGAAAGAGATAAACAGCTAAATGTATATGAAGATACAAGCAGTCGTATAACAATTTTATAATTTATTCCACTCGAATAATTCGAATATGAAGACACAATTACTCTTATTATTGAGTTGTCTATATTTAATATTTATATAAAATCTAATAAACCTACCGTTTTCACTAGAACTAGTATTTCTATTATTTATAGTCTAGAAAAAATCGTTATTTGGAACTTGCTTTAGTATTGTATTTATTTTTTGTATTTATTACATATTTTAATAAAATATACTATATACACCCGATATATCAATAATCCGACTGGTGGTCCACGAATTTTGAAATTAGCTGTAACTATATAGCGCACATTATTTAAAATATATTGCTAATAAGTTATGTGCGCTTTGCGCACCATTTTATATTCTTTTTGTCGCAAAAAAATTTTTATTTGCGGAGCGCACATGCGCACATCGAATTTTTTTCACTGACCACATAACTGCATCAAGAAAGTAACTCTAGCTATATCAAAAAGTAATTCTAACGCACCCCAAAATGGATCGATCTATATAAATTATCAAAATTTTTAAAAAATAGATTTCAGTTTTTTAAACATACAAAATATTTTCGACAAACAGAAATATTTTCGGCATACTAAAATATTTTCGACGTATCTAAATTATTCACGATTTTGACTGTCAAAAATCATTTTCGCCATCTAAATTTACTCCAAGAGCAAAACATTTTCGATACCCCATGTATACGGAAAGTTCAGAGAATGCACGAAATCAAATAATAGAGGATCCAACAGGCGCATGGGAAGACTCGGATGATGAGAAAGTTTGTGTATCATTACAAAGTAAAAATATATTAAAAAAATTAAGAAAAGATGAAGATGAGGATGTTATATCCGGTGATCAATATGAGAAGCGACTAAGACAACAATTTGAGAAACTATACCCAACGCCTAATTGGGCCACTGTTCCTTCGAAACGAAAAAGACAAACTCAAGACAATTCTGACTCATCAGATGATGAACCACCTGA